CAAATGCCTCTAATCAAATAATCATGGAGAGTTGCCAAGCTTGACAAAGACATTCAAGAACTAGTAAAAGTGAAATGGTTATATAGATTGACGGTGGATGCCTCAATTTCAGTCAAAAGAGGCAAATAGTGTATACCTCATGGTTACTTTTAATCTCTTCTATACCCTCTTGGGTGGTGTATACATGAGGATAATACCTTAAGTCTTTCCACATATATCCTCTTAGGTAGTGTATACCTAAGGGTTACTTTTAATCTATTTTAATCTCTTTTGTACCCTCTTTAATCTCTTCTATACTCTCTTGAGTAGTGTATACCTAAGGGTTACTTTTAATCTATTTTAATATCTTTTGTACCCTCTTTAATCTCTTTTATACTCTCTTGAGTAGTGTATACCTAAGGGTTACTTTTAATCTCTCCTTTACCCTCTCAAGTAGTGTATACCTGAGGGTTATTTTTAATCTCTCTTATACCCTCTTGGGTAGTGTATACCTGAGGGTTATTTTTAATCTCTCTTATACCCTCTTGGGTAGTGTATACCTGAGGGTTGCTTTTAATCTCTTCTATATATAGATGGTTTAGATGACTTCATGAAGTCATCTTAAACACTTGCACCAAATTATTACAGTGTTTAATAATGTACATGAAAAAATTACAAGCTTCTGATTGGCTGAAAACAAGTGCATAATTCTCTTGTAACAGGAGTGCAAAGTTGTATCACAAGTACAAATTACAAATAGCGTGTGCAAGCTTTCAAAATTCCATCTGTCCATACTTTCAGTGATGTTTCTTCATGTACATTCATTTATGAACAAGAAATGTTCATGATTTCTCTTGCAATTTTCTTTAATAAGCACTGTCTTATAAATTTTTCAAATTTTTTTCTTCAGTCTTATAACTGTTTTTTGAATAGTACATGGATATTATAGGGAGAAGTTACATGTTGATCAGTTTTGGGGATTAAAGGGTTAATCACTTGTATGATTACAGACATAATTGGACTCTACTCGGTCCTATTACCATTATACATTATGCTTAACCTCGTCTAATAACTAGTTAGTAATAGATGGATTGTACATACACATTGTGATCAAGGAAAGATTTTTTCTGAAAAACTGCTGCTGAAAGGCCTTTTAATCATATTGAATAAATTATAAAAAGTTTGCTTTTGAGCATCTAAGGAAAGGGTGAAACAGGTCCCTCAACCCTCAATATCTTCTTATTAATTCTCCCTTAAAGCCACTTTACATTTTCTTGTAAATTAGAAGGGAGAATATGATGTTACATCAATACACAACTTTCTCAGTTAATATGTGTATCAAGTCTTTTGCTGGATAATTTATAAAAATTGTAAGTATAAGTTACATATAAATCACATCTTGGAGTTAACCCTTCTGAACTCTCAGAAGTGATTAACATGTTACCTCTCCCTACATTATCCAGAAAACAGGTAATGAGAATACTGAAAGTTATCAGGTAGAGATTGTAATCTTGATCAAACACCAAATTCTCATCACTTATTTACAAAGAAATGTGTAGCAGCCAAAGGGGAGAATTAAAAATCAGATCTTAGGTGTTAAGGGTGGATTTCTTTATCTTTATAATGTTCTCTTATTGGACAAGAGTGATGGAATATCAAGCAGGATAGAATCTCTTAAGAAGAATTCTTAGCCAGAAAATAGCAGAAAAAATTTTTAGTTTGTGTCAGTCTCATGGTCAGTGGAAATGAGAGAAGGAGAGTGTGTGCAAAGAACAGCATGGGCTGTGGTAGTTTCCCTGACAAGCACAACAGCTGTTTGCAGCTTACCAGCTCTCTTACTCATCTTCACTGCCAAAGGGCCTGATACAGAAATTTTTGAATAAGGTAGTAAATATTTCTAAGTTTGTCTGTATCTATACCATTATTATCATCAAGAGACACGCATTTCTATCATCAGTTTGTATGGGTAGATAAAGGGGGTAATTAAGTTTCTAAAGAATCTGTGGTGCTACATCTGTGGAAGAGTGTAATTTAGGATTATCAGCTGAGTTGATAATGTAAATTGGCTACTGTAAAGAGTTTCAAAGCTTACGTTTGGAGTATTAGCCCTTTGTCAGAGCAATTGGCAAAGACTATGTTCTGACTAAGGGCTAATGCTCTAAATGTCAGCTTTTAAACTCTTTATGGTGGCCTGTTTGTATAAGTACTCCACTTTGCTTATAAATGTGCAGTAAGAAAAGAAAACTGTACAGGAACAATTATAGAGGTGTAGAGGACTTCAAGTTTCTCTTATCTCAGCTTATCATGAGTAATCAGCATTTACTGGTTTGAAGATTGAGCATTTCTTCAATCTTTTTACCCTATAAATATATTGATCCAAAGTAGGAGGGTGCATGGAAACCCCCTCTTTTTTTATCTCTCGTGTGACAACTAACAAAACGAATTTCCCTAAAGGTTCCACAGCCTTAAGTGTAGACAAATTCCACAGATGATCACATAATCTTGCATCTTGTAAGGGAGATGAGTGTTTAATTTTTGCAGTGACTTTTTGCGTCAAACTTAAATTCCTTCTTTTTTGTATTTAGGCATTTTACATTGGTGTTTCCTTCTCCCTATGTTTCCTTCCTCTTTTTCTTTCCATTTGGTTTTCCTTTGCATTTTTCCAGACTTTCTTTAATAGGATACTTCACATGAAATTCCATTTCCCATTGTGTGGGAATCCTACCACAACTGCTAAATGGGCCTCTCATGGGACCTCACAAGGATCTTGGCAGGATTCCCATTGACAGAGAATGGAATATACTGTGAAGCATATTAATTATATTGTTACTGTGCCAGGATCCCGCACCTAGTCACTAGTGCAGCTGTTAGTCTTCCCCTTATGTAACGACCTCGTGTAGATTTTAACTGACAACAGTTTTCAAAAATTAACCCTCTACACTGTAGCATCAGTATGTACATTTTCCAAGGAGCTGAGAAGGAGAATTTGTTTAACAATCAAAAACTGGAAGTGTATAAACCCTCCTCCGGAACAAAAGTCTACATTAGCCGTTAGTGGAATAAACCACCGTCTAAAAAGAGCACCTCAAGTTGGAGAAGGTTCGTTAAAACACTGTTTTAAAACAAGTCTTGGAACTAAACAGCTTACCTCTCCTAAAAGATCTTGCATTATGCTCAACTGCAAATTGGCGGCCCCGCCGCTTTCTAGAATCATGGGAAGTAGACGCTGGCAATCGAGATGGTGGCATTCATTTGCCAAGCGAGTATTTGACGAAAGTGCTGAAGGACAAAGCTTAATCAATTAAAGAAATTTTGGAACTGTACAAGTAACCTGCATTTCTAATCTTTTCTGATCTTTTTAGAACTTTTTTCACCCGTGCAACGATTTTTTATAGTTATAAGTTCGTATCGCATTCGTACTTTTCTTAATCGAAAGCTAAATATGTATCGTTATGGCAATTTTTTACGCGCATTCAATGGGTTACTTTGAATGCTTTTTGGGATGCTTCTGTTGGTTTTTTGTCGATGTGTTGCTCTATTACACTTTATCCACTTAACATGACTCACTTAGCATGAGTAATATTATCACCCCTGAATCACACATAAAGGCCATAAGAATACAGGAATAGAAGCTCTTGATTGTTAAACAAATTCTCCTTGACAGCACCTTAAGAAATTTTTAGAGAACAGTATGGAGAATGTTCATACTGATGTTAGAGTGTAATGGGTTTAAGATGGAGGACTGATTGATAACCCTTTAACTCCCAAGATCTTGTTAGTAATTCTCCTTACTATCTGCCATACAGTTCTTGTGATGTTAGTTTGGAGAATTTGGTATTGGATCAACTTATAATCCCCTCATTGGTATTTTTTGTTATTCTCATCACTTGTCTGCTTGATATTGTATTGATATTGGAAGGAGAAATTCTGTCTTGGTCACTCATGGGAGTTAAGGGGTTAAATATGGCAGATTACTTGGGGAGGACTTGTGTGGGGATGCCAGCTAAGTTTGTACCAGACATATTATAGCTCAGTAATCAGAATTGCAACCTTTAGAGGTTGACCTGACAAAAAAAGATAATATTCTGCATAGTACTACCCATGAATTCACTTTAGGTTTACTTTGATTTGAGGTACTACTTTTTTTGCTTAAGATGAGTTTCCCTTTTATTTCTTCGTCAAAGTATTTTTCATGTAATATAGCATCCTGACACACTGTGGATGAAACTCAAAACTTTTTGAACAATTGTGGAAAAATTGAGGTAATCATGGTCGTAAAGAAGTTTAAATCAGCAATCACTTACTTCAATGTCATGATTTCTTCCTTCTCACCTGAACTCCCTGTAGTAAGAAGGAAAATGAGGGGGGTGGGGTGGGTACAAGGAAAGAGTAGAGACCCATTCTTAGCTGGAACCAGGCTGAAATTTCCAAATATTTATGATCTTGAGCATCAATCATGATTCAAGAAATTAAAGAAGGGAGCTGGTTGCAATTCAATGCTATATTACCTGAAATACAGACCTTTGGAAATGGAAATGAAAAGCAACTTTTGAACCTTAATTTAAACTTTTAGCCTTTAATTGTGGAAGCAGAGGGTGCAGTGGTGAGAGTGCTTCCCTCCCACCCCTCCCACTATTGTGAACTGGGTTCAAATCTTGGACCTGGCATCACATGTGGATTTAGTTCGTTGTTGGTTCTTGTCCTTGCTCCAAAGGGTTTTCTCTGGGTCTTCCAGTTTTCCTCTCTCAGCGAAATACCAGCATTCTAAATTCCAATTCGACCTGACAAAAGTGGACAGGAAGAGCCACCCCATGGATTGTCCAATGCTAAAATCCAGTTATTTATTTTTTTGTGTACCGCCATCCATGCAGGCTTTGCCATGTTTGGGACCAGTAACTATATATATTATGTTTCTCCCCCCCCTCTGTTCCCCTGAAAACCATGCGATCCCCCCTTCATTCTTTCCCCCCCCCCTCCCATGATAAATAATGATAGGTGCTTTGGTTTTAATTTCCCCTGAGCAGAAAGAAGTAATTTCACATCGTCAGCCCAAAGAACATGTCTTCAACATCTTGTAAGTGGGAAACTCTCTTTGTTTTTCCATTTTTTTTTTGGTTGTTGTTGATTTTGTTTTTGTTTTTTTGTTTTTTTGTATTTATAGAGAGTCCAGTGAAGAAGATGAAGAAGCCTTCGAAGCCATGGCAGAAATTGATAAGTTTGAGGAAAGTCTTAAACAGAAGGAAATTATAAAACCAGAGTAGAAACTAACTTTCTGAAAGTTATCCTTATTTCTTGTAAAGAAAAAAATCTTGCCACTGTACATAACTGTAAGAAATGTAAATAAAGTGTTATTTCCATTGTAGAGTGTTGGTTTCAAATTCTACATCAATTGGAGAACTTTAGTCAATAACGTTCATCTTCACTAATGTAAGGAACTATTGCTTATATTAGTTCACAGTCCCTTTAAAAATGGACGTCCAATGAATTTCGGTTAGAAAATTAGGTTTCCTCCAAACTCTGCCACGATATTAAGCTAAGTCCAAAATTCACCTTTTGTATACATCGCTCAGTATTTTGTTTCGGAATTAAAATAATCTTATTGGAAACTCATTTTGGTGGTCGCGTTACCCGAAAATTAGAAAAAACTGCCGAGTTGTTCATTTCACAATGTTTTCTACTTGAAATTAATTCTCAAATTGCTCGTTATCACTTTTATCATTAGACACACTGATTCCCCTGTCATCGTTAACTTGTTACTTATCGGAGATATCTAGCAACTTTGCCATAGCTGTCGAGTGTGAAATTATTGTAATTTTAGCTTCATTTGGGGCCACATCTTTCCCACCATTGTTAGAGCGCTCAACGGTCAACCTGTTTAGAGCGGTCACCCACCATTCTTCGTGACCGCTTATTAAAAGTTTTACTGATAGTCTTGGTCAGGCGACCTTTAGTTACCTAACCAGGAGTAATCATTGATTATGGAGAGAGTTCGTGGGGTTGAAAATTGGGTTTTGAACCCATTGAATTCTGACTACACTCACGAGATAATCAATGTGAAAAGTTTATTTAGGATGAGTCAGTCAGTCTTCTAGTATATGCATCCTCATACAATCTCAATATGTGCACCCTCATACAATCTCAATATGTGCACCCTGAAACTAGGGTTCTTCGAAAAAAACCTTTGCTACGCTAGCTACGAAGAACCTCTGAAAAAACTGCTCTTTCGATGTGGCCGAGAAAAGGTATGGAAATGTATTCCTCATCTAATGCTCAGCACAATACTCTAAGGAAAGGGTATACTAAAGTGATTGCACCACTAATTACAAAGAAAAATCAATGATTGAAATGATATTTTACAGGCAGTAAGAATACCAAAATTACAAAAAATACGAAAAAGAAAGTGGTCACTGATATGGGAGAAGTTGAGCATTGTAAAAAATTTTCAAGAGACTTAATGAATATTTCAAAAAAAGGTCAGAACCCCTTCTTTTCTATCTACTCGCTATATGGTTGTTACAGAAGAAGGGACATGTTTGTTTGTTGATAGAGTCGTACCAGAGACCACTGAACATCCCACGCAGCCAATGGTAAGCTTTTCGTAAACCGTTCAATTTCCTGCGCTTTGCAAATATTTGAAGGGTAATAAACACCGATAGCCTCTATTAGGCGAAAAAATATGCTCGTAAATTTATCCATGGATATTATTTTTTCCTCGAAGCTCACAGTTTTTCTCAAGTTTGGTTCTCGGGGAACTTTGCATTTTAGAACAGATAATGTCTGCGGACAAATATCCGTGCATATTTTCAAACCAAACGGGGACTAGTGTTCATACAGTTATCTGTCACGCGTGACAATAGTTTCTTCAGCGAATAAGTATTCTTTACGTGTTCTCGTATTTGATGTAATTTTAGTGGCGGAGCTATAAATGACACCAAGGGAATTTCCCGATATCAGTTTCCGTGTTTTCATAGGCCGCATTCTGCCTGATCAACTCGTGATCTCATTGTCTGGTATTAAACGCCCACAATTTTTTTTGTAGAACCCCTTGATGAGGTCTACTGTCTCCCGCATTTCAAAAATCTCTCTCGAATAGATTCTACACGATTGATTACTCGCATCATTTGCGCAAATTACGCAAGGAATGAAATTCCACGACGCGATCAAACGTAACAAACAGCCTTTCTGCTGAGAATTTTCCATCACGTAACTAAACGAAGCATACCTTAATCGAAAAATGAAGTCGACGTCAGTTCTCACTTAATTTGGTGTTTGCTGCATACTTTTACGAGCAATTTCGGCGCTTATGGCCTTACACTGAAACCATTGCAAGCGAAGGGTAGGTTAAGGACGCTTCAGCTTAAAGTGTAAGTAAAATATGATACGAATTAGGCATCGTGTTTGTCATAAGCTTCATCACTTGCGAGTGGTAGACCTTGCACCTTTAAATTGAAATGTTTCCAACGCCGTCCTTTCTCGAGGGTCTTGAAACGTGTTTATATCCTACAGAATTCAAGCATTTCACTCAATTTTAGATCAAAACCTGGAACAAGTAGAACTAAGAATATTTCACTAAGATTAAGTTTGCGTGAACAGACTAACGACTCACTCTCAACCAACAACAAAATGGCGGTTGACAGTTTGACTATAAGGTTATACAATACAATACAATATTTATTTGCCATATACGACATTTACAGATGGAAAAAAAATGAAGAAAATTGATGACAGAAAATAAATGGCGAGAAAACCTGAAAGAAACCACGAGGCTTATAACAAGTCAGGCTTTCTCACTTAAAATAACTAATCTTATATTAGAATTACAATATGGACTTATGGTAATTAACTTTGACCGCGCACACGTACACACACACACACACACACACACACACACACACACACACACACACACACACACACACACACACACACACACACACACACACACACACACACACACACACACACACATCATGATCAATTGCCTTTCCATTTTGACCGATTAAAGTGGCCGTGGGGACTTGAAGGGACTGTATCATCTATATTAGCAACAATTTTCAAAATGAAAACTTTTGAAAAATGGAAACTTTTTGTTTATTGCAGCAGTGAAACGAAGGGCGGGATAATGCTCACGACACCGTCTACGCATTTACGTTATTAGTATTTCAAAAATTCAACTTCTTTTTTACTGATTAAAGAAAATCATCATCACACCTATTTATTTCTTGATTGTAAGATGATAGACCTCACAAAATAATTGCTCTTTTTTAAAATGACAAATATCTGTTTATACTGATATTGAATTTCTGTCGTTCTATTTCAGTATTAATTGCGGGATCCAATTTGCAAGGGATCCATCAGAGATATCAGGCAGTTCTGGATATTATGGTCAAGAAACACAAGCCATGGTGCGATTTGGCATCCCTCGCAACACTTTAAGGGATTATATTGGCATTTGCGACTGGGAAAGCTCTCCGTTAAATCTACTGAGTTGCGCCGTAGTGCGGTTCTAAACGAATACAGAGTTCAGTCAAATAGATTAAAAGAAGAAAAGAAGCTCCTTCCTTTTTATCCGAAGGAAGGCTTTTACAACCAAAGTAAGTTCGAGTAGAAATTTATATGTATTGGGTGTAAGATTCGCGAGGTTATTTACTGAAGGCGCACTTTTGATTGGCTCTAATTCATAGGGGGACCAACGCGCCGAGATTAAAATTAACGAAGAAATGACGCCGGATTCTTTTACCCTAATATCACGTGTTCTGTAGTTAGCAATTCAATTTTCATCCGAGGGAAAATGTGGTAAGGCGCCAGCTTTGTGTGTTCCGGGCGTTTCTGTAGTTTCTTGTTTTAGCTCTCGTTCTTTAATCGCGAATGTTATCAGTTGGGTTTAGACGTCACCTATGATTGCCAAACTAACAGAGTGACATGAGGTAACAATTGCACAGTCTTTGATAATAGATATATATCGGATGCCTAGGGGTGGACCACACGAATAAAGGGAGGGGAGGGGTAAACGATTTAAACAATTTTAGTACACTAAAAAGTTATCTCGAATGTTTTTAAGTATTTAGGCATTACAGTTTACTCTTTGAATGGTTAAAAATACTCAAGTATATCCCAGCTATGTTCCAGTCTGCTCTTAGGATTATTTTTTTGGATAGCTTAGCCTTGGGCTGATATGTTTTCTGCCTTTATTTGTAATGTTCCACTCCGTCCTGAATACACCAAATATCTACACAATTTTTTTTTCAAGCTGAAAAACGGTTTGCTAGTGTTTCTTGTAGTGCCACCATAATGAGCAAACAGTTCAAAGACGTTAAAAGTTAATACGAACTTAACAATTGGTTAGTATACTTTACTTACTTGGTGACTTATACAATACTATGCCTCGCTTCTCTTTAGACCCTTTTAGAATGTTCTAAAAACATACTGCATTCTCAACAAATGATATGCGATGTTAATTTCAATTTCAAACAATCATATCATAAGCTTAATTTAAATACTAAATACAATAACGAACATTTTGTACCAAATGCTATGGAGGGTAATTAGGTTAATTGAGGCCTGTGTATATAATGCAGGAAGAAGGATCACCCTTGCCGTCCCTGCTTGAGTTTGAAATATATACAGAAGCGCTTAGAGACTAGAGCGAAAAGTCGGAGGAGAATTTCCCTCTTCATCCCGTCTTAAGAATTTCCCTCTTCATCCCGTGTTAAGAATTTCCCGTTAGGACGCTGCTTTCTCGAAAATTCTTGAACTGAAAACAAGCCCAGTAGAAAGAAGCAACTGCAACAATAAGACAAGAACAGGAGAAAAAGGAAAAGCCAAAAAAAAAATAAGCCGAAAAGTCTTAAAAAGTTGGTTTAGACTTTGGTGAATGCCCGTGGAAAAATTGTTTTCAGCCGTACACTTTATCGTTCACACGAATCGCTTGTCCAACACGCGTCGAGTAATTTTGCCATTGGTTCTGAAATTTCAGTAGTGTGACCATGCACCACATCCGGTCTATTGTCATGTTCAAAACGCGCCTTTTCTGTTCATGTTTTCTGCACAATTTATGTTTTGTTTTTTCATATCAAACAAGTTGTAGTCTATTAGGTTCTCGTATTCTCAAGAGCCTTTTCTTTTCTTTTCTAGCTTTTCCTTTCCTTTCTTTTAGCTATTGATTTATTGTTAACATACTTCCTTGGTTCTGGTGAATTGAGCGTTAAATCGGTTCTGCAGCTTATACTGTAATTTTTCTAGTTTATATTCCTTTATTGCA